AATTGCGGGCCAAAACCCCCCCTCCCCCCCCCCCATGCCAAATCTCTAAGGTCAATTCCATATAGTCCCAATGGATCCGGTCGAACACCTTTTCCGCATCCAAAGCCAGGAAAAGGGAAGGCGTCCGACCGGTCTCCGCATGTCTAAGGTTCAGCATCTGTCTGGTTGCATCCGGAGCCTGTCATCCTCTCGAATCAAGCTGGTTTTATGAAGGGTAAACAGAAGGGAGTAGGTGTAGTAGCCTGTTTGCAAGGAGCTTAGCATAAAGCTTAATGTCAGTATAAATTAAAGATATGGGTCTGAAATTTTTCGGTGATGTCAGAGCTTTTCCCGGTTTCGGTATAGCAACTATCACTGCTTTCAACATATCGGGAGGGAAGGAACCAGAGACTGCAGCAGACTCAAAGATATGGAAAAGATGAGGGTTTAAGATATTTTGAAAGGTCTTATAATCCTCCTAGAAACCGTCCTCTCCAGGGAACTTACCAGAAGGTAGAGCCCCAATTACTTTCTGTATTTCAATGTCCGTAAAAGCAGTCTAAAAATTCAGCTATTGAGGAGGATGGTTTAGTCGAGAGGATCTCCACGCACATTATAAAGAGTAGTATAGTATGAGCCAAAGGCGTCTGCTATTTCTCTAGGGTTACGCAAAGGAACGTTAGTGGGTGATATAGCATAGGTATTTTCATCTTCTGTTGCTTCCGTTTGAGTTAGGCAGCTAATAATTTACCAGCTCTATTCCCTTGGTGGTAGTAAGTGGCCTTCAGGCGAGACATATGAAACTCATGTTTAGCAATAAGGAGGAGTTTAAGGTCCTGGAGGGTTTTAGGGGAAGGAGTAGTTTTGTGGAGCTTTTCTAAAATTTTAATGTTTTCCCGGAGAGACATGTATCTCTGCAGTCTTAGTGTCCTATCCCTGGAGGCAATCTGTATTAACAAACCTCATACAAAAGCTTTGAGAGCACCATACTTTGAAGGGTTGCAATTCAGGAGAAGCATTACATTCAAAGTAATCTTTTAATTGAGAGGCCACATGCTTCAAGTGCGTGGGATCTGAAAAAAAGGATACGTTATTCCTCAAAGGTCTAGGTAGAAGGGCAGGTGTGGGGACCATCGTCAAAGTGATCGGTGCATGATCCGACCATGTAATATTGTGGATGGTAACCTCTGTAATATTTTGCAGGAGCCACTGATCTGCAGTGCCAGATATCGTACAACTCTTCTTTCGAGAGCAGCTTACTGATAGATGGCCTGCATTAAAAACGTCCAGAGCTGGGTCTGAGATCAAATTAAAATTCCCACACAGAAGCAGGTGGCCTCTCTGTACATATCGAATTTTAGTAACCAGCATTTTAAGGAAGGAATGTTGGTTAACATTGGGTGTATACAAATTCACCAAAGTATAGCAAATAGAGTTCAGCTCGCAGACTGAGACAATAAATCTGCCTTTATGATCCATGATCGAGTTGTGGAGCTAAAAAGAGACAGATCGCCCAATAACTATCAGTACACCCCTTTTCTTTGAGGTAGCATTGGAAAAAAAAAAACATTGGGAAACTTCTGATGTTGAAACGTAGGCGCCTTATCCTTGCAGAAGTGAGTTTCTTGGGCGCATAAGATATCACATGAATGCAATTTAGTCTCATTCCGCAGTTGGGATCTTTTGAAGGGGCTATTTAGCTCTTTAACATTTAAGGAAAGGATTTTAATACTCATCCCAGGAATGCCAGAGTTCAGATGGGTCCCAGGATAGTCTGATCATTGCGATGTCGGAGTACCCAAAGAAAAGTGGTCCATCTCAAGATTAAGTTGGGAGCTCTGCATCCCATAGTCTAATCGAGGTTGACAGCTCTTGTATTATCCATCCTGAAGGTGAGAGAGGAAGAAAGAAACCAGAAAAGAAAAAAAGGAACAAAAAACAAGTAACCAAAAAAAAGTCAACAATAACCAAATCTGGTAGAAAAATAAACAGTGAACAAGCGGTACTCGGGGCAGCGGTACTCGGCTTCATATTTCTGACCGGGGGCTAGAGAGGTAAGAACCAAAGCCTCAGTCCAGTCAAGGTAGCGAGCGTGAGCATGGGCAAGCACTTGCATCCACCATCAGGCAGAGGGAGAAACAAGGATACTGTCACTGTAGATGGTATCAGCCAATATCAGTAAAGCCAGAGGTAGCCTCATCAATAGGGATCTCAAATTTTTTTTCAGTAGAAGTAACCCAGAGGCAACATCAGGTATAGTAAACTATTTTCCATTTCTGATGAGCAGTAGTTTGGTAGGGTATCCCCATCTGTAAGGAACTTTGGGATCCTGCAGAGCTTTCGTGATTGGCAATAAGCGCTTCTTGGCAGCGATGGTAGCCTGTGCCTGATCCCCATAGAAGGAAAGTGAGCCATAGGGGTCAGGCAGAGGAGTAACAGATCGAGAAAGGGACATCAGCTGTTCTTTCACATAGCAGTGGATGCAGGCTATCACATCTCTAGGTACGAGTCCGGGAGATGGGTGGGTTTTGGCAGCCGGTGGGCTCTGGTGACAATGGTCTCACAGTCTGACAGAGGGCAGTAGATCCTTGATCAGTCATTGTACAAAGTCACGCAACTGTACCCGGAGTTACATGTTCAGGGACTCCTCTGAACTTTATATTGTTCCGCCGGGCTCTATCTTCCAGGTCTGCCAATTTCAGGGACATGGCATCCACCAGCGCGTTGTGGGCCTCTGCGTATTCCCCCATCTTAACTTCAAGGTGATTTCACCCGGTCACCCAGCTCATGTATCTCTCCCCTCATTTGATGCAGTACAGACACCATATCACTATGCAGGGAACTGTGTAATGACACCAGCATATCCTTTAAAATGGTATCCCCTAAAGGGGTGACAGTGGTAGGAAAGTTATCAATGGAGTCATGGAGTTCCATAGTATCATCAAGAGGAAGAGTTACCTGGGGTGTAGAAGATGTTTGTGCAGCCCTTTTCTGCTGAGGATTCTGTGGGCTATTGGTTGTGGAGGACGAGCTGCTGGGCGGTGTAGTGCCCCAGGTGCTGCCAGCCATTCGTCCAGCTGCTGAAGCATGTCCTGTAGTCTGCGAGGCAGAGCCGCATGTAGCTCTGGTGCCATCTTGCTTGGCCGGGGCTCCAACCATAGAGAAGTCGGTCAGTATGCGGGGACTGCGCTTCTTCGTTTTTCTCCCCATGGGAGCAGCGGTCACTGATCGTGGGTCAATTACTGCCTGTGGGGATCGGAGGCTGGTGCTCAGTCGCTGGCAATGTTGCTGGGTCTGCTCTAAGACTTCAGAGCCTCTCTACTGTCACTGCCATCTTCCCCGGCATTAGGCCACGCCCCTGACCGGTCCTGCCTTTTTCTGTGACTTGCAGCTATCCACCTTTTTTGACCATCCTTTAGATCTGGCTGCAGCTAATGTTGGTTTGCAATCACTACATCTGG